GTATAGGAATACATAATAATAGTAATATAGTATACCTAAAGCCGCCAACCGCCAAACAACAAAAAATTTTGAAGCGCATTTGCGAGACGCCCAGCGTCTAAAATTAGACTACAACTAAATATTAAATAAATGTGCGTCCTCTCCCTAACCCTATACAATATACATATATACAGTAGATCCATAAGACCACACGCTTATGCGGCCTATAACTGGCTGATATAGTTTAGCTATCAACTTTTACATAAACAAGAAAAAACTAATGCTTCGGCCATCCGAAGCTTATATATCCTTGCAGATTGTTGTTTTAGAAATCAAGATTTATTCAAAAGCACATTTCTCCTGTCATTGCATAGAAGTTAGGCACCCAGACTTTCCCATCTATTCAATCGATCTGCAGGGGTAAATGGAAAACATTTTGCGCTAAGGATATATAAATCGGAAATAGGCAAAAGCGAAAAAATCAACTTTGAAATGCAACTMAAAACCCTCTAATGAAAACAATAAATTAAATATATATATATACATATTTCTATATTTAAATGTATTTCATCTTATATAAGACTGCTGTTATGTTCGTAAATATATTTAATATATATTATAATTAACGAAAAATATAAACCATACAAATAAAAAAAACAAAAACAAAAAAAATGTAATAAATGAATAGTTGTATTCATACTCTACCTATATACATACGACTATTATATAATGTACTGTAATAAACTAAACTTCGTAATTATGTATATGTAGAGGATTAATTGAAGCGTATGTGTATGTAACCAACAAATCAATCTACATATATATTGAAACAAGGGCTAAAGTTGTAGAGACTTGAAATATGACGGGTTTTAATATCGAGTAACCTAATTACATCATCATTAACAATATCATCCACAAAAAAAAATGTAGTAAAATATTCTCTTTTTGCTTTATGTGATCTATATATACATACACATTAAAACATACATAACTACATACATATACATATATCTATATATATGTACAATAAAAAATGTCCTTGGAAAAAAAAAATAAAAATTGTTTAATCTATTTCTGGAATATATATATAGGAATGGCATGAACTGGAATTATTAATCGACCAAAGTTTATAATATTCTCCCTCACAAAACAATTTCCAATAATTTTTGTTCATATAACTTTAAATAACAATATATTTGGTTAAATACTTGAGTATCTTTTAAATATGCTCTTCAATTCTAAACCGAGCGAATTTGAAGTTGCTACAATAAATAGACATATATATACATATTACATTGGTGGAATGTTAGGTTAACGCCTTGCTTCAAGCATGCCAATATAGTGGCAAATTTTCTCGAGAAGTACGGGGTCTCGGATCAGTTGCATCTTTGACTGGAGCTCATAGAGGCTGTGCAAATCCCGTTGCTCAAAGGCGCAATCGATGGACTCCTCGTACAAGCTGAAATAGAATAGTTTCAATGGACATATCTCCAGAATATGCAGAACAAAGAATTTACCCAGCTCGTGTATACCAGTAAACCTTGCGCTTGTCCGGACAGCGTTGAATATATTTTTGCGCTTCTCGTACATTTTCGCGCTGCAGACAAACTTCCACGAAGGGTTCATATCCAATGGGGCTTTTCTTGCTCTTCGAAAACTTCTCCAGCTCTACCCAGTTGTATTTTTCGGCCAAGGTAAGTATTCGCAACCACCAAAACCTGCGATCAGGTACCTTGTAATCGCTTTTGATCTTTTCCACCTCCTTGAGCTCGCCTATTTTCAACAGTTCGTACATAGTATCATGTATGGATAGTCCGTTGAATTCGGCGGCACCAATGTGCTTTGTCGATAGAGTCTTCTGCAGCTTAAGCATGCGCGCCGTATCCGCACATAGTTCCGCCTCCACAGTGCATCTGCCCTGTGCGTAGCTATTGCCAATATTGGACAGATTCGACTCAAGACCCTCACTTTCGAGTGCATTATAAAAATGATACTCGGCAATGGACTTGTGATCATCCTCGGTGTTGTAAATATCATAGAGTGCCGTTCGACTGGACTCCATCATAATCTTCTTGTACATATTTAGTGCCAAAGGATATTCTCTTATAATCATCTACAAGATTGAAGCAATTAGTGGTGAAAATTTAGTATATGAAAAATAGTTAAATTTACATGGAAATTAGAGAGCATCATTTTCTTTTTTATCTCGAGTAGAACCTCTGTAACCAGTTCTGGATCGCCAGATTGTGTGGCACTCGCCACTGCCCGATCGAATTTGCCCATTTTCAAAAGCAATGGCACATGCAACGAGGCACGCGGCTCGAGCTCCAACAGCTTAATTGCCAACTCACTGCGTCCATTTTGATAGGCCTTCTCTGCTATATTGCAATATGAAATGCCCTCAATTGAGGGATTCTTGAATTTCTCCGTTATCTTTCGAGCCACCTCATTATCATCTGAAAACAGTAAAATGAATATCTACAAGAAATGGAATAGTTCATGTTATCCATCTTACTCTGATCATTCATGACCTTATGGTAAGCCCAATGCTCCAAGATCCAAGATTCGGGTAATTTTAGATGTTTGGCCACCTGTATGGCCACGGCATAATGCTTGCGAAAGACAAGGCGACTCAAAATCACCTCTGGATTAAGATGAGAGAATCTGCAAAGATATATTTATAAGTGGGTATTTAAGTTATTTAAATGCCCATCTATTTTACTGCTTATAGGTCAGTGGCATGGCAATTTTCTCATGGCGCAAAGTATTTAAGACTCTCAATATCCTCAAGATGCGCATATACTCTTCGGGATTATGCGATGGTATAAAGCCCTTGCCGAAATAAGCTGTCTACAATGGAACGTTTTGAAATGACATTGGTGTGATTATGGATATTCAAAGTATATACAACTTACCCGCATTAGACTCTTCTGGGTTTCGGGGCAGAATTCATATGCTGCAGCCTCGATGCACTCGTTGACAGCCAATTCAATGTTCGAACGGCACATGCTTAGATATTCATCGGACTTGTAGGATTTCTCCTCGAACTTCTTTTGTGCCTCGAATAGATAGCTCGCTGGCGCCTGGCTATTTACGGCAAATATGTTCTGCACACACTTCGGCAGGCGTTGAATCATTTCATGTGAGGTTTGGCTAATAATGCGAACACCATCCATTTCAGCGACCAGAAACATGACCGGATCACTGGGAATTTCGCTTCTGTCTGCATTGCGGTTAACAATCAAGAGATATGAGGGATAGGAAATGACAACAGCATCTGCATCGCTATCATGGGTATTCATAATCCATTCAATTTGCAATGGAATATCCTTTCGGCCAGTGTCGAACTCGCAGTACTTCTGACGCATGTCGACGCTGCCCAGCCAGAGCAAACCGGTGTTGGTGTAGAGCGCCAAATGCTGATGGTTGTACGAAACAGAAATCTTGATAATCCGATCATGGGGTTTCTCAAACAGATTAGCCGTCACGGTGCCCACAGTTTGGCCGTGCTGCAGCTTGATGACTTCTCGCTCACGTCCTAGCAGACAATAGCTATTGCGACCCTCGGTTACAATTTCCCAGCACGAACAATTAGCATTGGAATCTGACAAAAGTAAAGTTCATTTGGTTAAATTTACGGGCAAAATCTCATTGCTTCTCTCACTTGGTATATCAGGCAACTTTCGCTCAGTTTTGTTGCTGTTCTGCTTTAGGAATATGCGACCGGAAGTCGTCATAACGGCAACGCCAGTGCCAGCTGCGGATTGAAAGACTTTGGCCTCCACAATCTTAATAACGCTCGCCTCGCCGCCAATGCTATACGATTCCTTCTCATTACCAAACAGATCGTAAACAAACACTTTGGCGTTCTCCAGCACACAGATGAGCTCCTCAGTGTCGGACCAGCCCATCGAAATCAACTTGCCATGATTCCACTGCATTTATATACATACAATATATGTAAATATGTAAATATAAATATCCACTTGTTGCTCTTTACATCAGCTGCTTACCAAAATATGACCAGTCTCATTGCCGCTGGTATCAAAAATCCGAATCATCGGCCGCGCTGCGCCTTTGACAGGCACCAATTTTGTAGCATCGCGTATTGCAGCCAAAGGACCTCCGTAGGGTGCTACTGCAACTTGCATGTATTCCAAATCGAAATCGATCGGCCAATCAGGTGTTGCAAGCTCAACTTTTCTGTGGGCGTAAGACCGCAAGAGAGAAAGATATGTATGTACATATTTTTCATCAGTGAAAAGTTTAGCTTATTTTATCTCTCACCTGTAGTAGTCCGGTCGGACCTTAAACCACTCTCCAGTGTTGTTCATAATCGGCATGATTAAGGGAATAAATATATAAATACTTTAAGGAAAAAATAAACAGACGTAGTGCATTTTTCCGCTACTGTTGTTGGTCTGATTAGAGAATGCAGAAGTGTGTGTAACAGTTACTTGTCACGAATCGTGGTTCCATTGCATTAATCGTCTTACGATAGGTCACCATAAAATTTAAAATAATATCAAGTAATTAAACTATATATACAAAATAACTGTAAATAAACAGATAATTCACATTTTACAGCTATAGTTTTACTAATTGTTTTCTTGTTTAAAATTGACTTTTGCGATAGTTTTGATTCGTGACAGCACTTTTCGTGTGTGAGCCCCTAATATATACAACGCTGGTTCTGCACATGTGAAAGGCCAATTTCAACAGCCAGTATTATTTGTCACAGCGTTACGCTTTAAACAACTTTAAATATTACTAATTTATTAACAAATGGCTGACACTAAGCAAACAGTTGTTGAAGGCGTCGATGCACTCACCCTAAATGGCAAATCCGATGCAGAGACGGTTGAAACGGCAACGGACGCTGCTGGCGCTGAGGCAGGAGGAACAACAACAAACGCTGACGATGTGGTTGATCCATGGAATGTGGCCAGCAGCAGTGATGCAGGCGTCGATTACGACAAGCTAATAAGTATGCAACACGATTTTGTGGTCACTCTAATGTGTACAACTTGAATATTATCTATATATATAAATATTTTGTGTTGACACGTTGCAGAGCGCTTTGGCTCGAGTAAAATCGATGAGGAACTTATCGCACGATTTGAAAAAATCACAGGAAAGCCAGCTCATCATTTGATTAGACGCGGTATCTTCTTTTCGCATCGCGATCTACACTCAATTTTAACGCTAATCGAGCAGGGCAAACCATTCTATTTGTACACGGGCCGAGGACCCAGCTCTGGGTCCTTGCATGTTGGTCACCTAGTGCCGTTTATTCTGACCAAATGGCTGCAGGAAACGTTCGATGTGCCGCTGATCATTCAGCTGACGGACGACGAGAAGACACTATGGAAGGACCTGAAGATCGAGGAGGCTATCAGGTTGGCCCGTGAGAATGCAAAGGATATTGTTGCCATGGGTTTCGACCTGAATAAAACTTTCATATTCAATAATCTGGAGTTTATGGGGTAAATACATACATATATGTACCATATACACTTTGCGCATAATCCAATCATTTACTTTCCAGCAAATGCCCTGCATTCTACCAGAACATAATTCGCATTCAAAAGTGCGTCACTTTCAACCAGGTGAAGGGCATTTTCGGTTTCGGCGACTCGGATATTATTGGCAAGATTGGATTCCCCGCCGCGCAAGCAGCGCCCGCCCTCTCAAGCACATTTCCCTTTATCTTTGGAAATAAGAAAGTTCACTGCCTGATACCCTGCGCTATCGATCAGGATCCGTATTTCCGAATGACTCGCGATGTGGCGCCACGACTGGGATTCCCAAAATGTGCGCTTATCCACTCCAGCTTCTTTCCGGCTCTGCAGGGCGCCAAAACGAAGATGTCGGCGAGCGAGCAGAACTCGGCTGTATTTCTGACTGATACTCCTAAGCAGATCAAGAATAAAATCAATAAATACGCATTTTCGGGCGGACGCACCACAGTCGAAGAGCATCGTCAACTGGGCGGCATTCCCGACATCGATGTAGCCTATCAGCTACTCAAGTTTTTCCTAGAGGACGACCAGAAGCTCGAAGAAGTGCGCCTTGCATACAGCAAGGGTGAAATGCTGACAGGAGAGATCAAAAAGCTAGCTATCGAGGTGAGCTGCAGCTGGAAATTCCACTCACAAAATAAACTCATTTCTCGATTTCCCCACAGACTCTAACGCCCATTGTGGAGCAGCATCAGGCAGCGCGTAAATTGGTAACAGACGAAGTGCTGGACAAATATTTTGAGATCAGAGCTCTGAAATTTGGAAGCTAGAGCCAGTATATATATAGAACGAACATTATATAGACACAAATGTATTTATTGATTTGTGTGTTTGCCACACAGCTGAAAGCTTGTTGCACACACACAAGCCGCACGTTGCGCTCGCTATTTATTTACTAAGCAAAATTTTGTGTTATTATTTTTATAAGCACACAGAGAAGCAAAATGCAAACAAACCAATAAACGCCTACAAACTGACCCACTTTGGCTAGTTGTAAAATAGCTGTAAAACTCCAGGCTCCAAAAGCGGGAATGGCGATTGAGCCGTCGCGTCAACTCCAATATTTTGTATATATACATATTTCATATATATGTATATGATAAATATATAGCTACTATTCTGACGCAAGCATCTGGTAAAGCAGCTAAAATAATATATTTCAGACTCGTCGCTGCGCAAAAATGTAATAATTTCCGTGTAATTCGAGAGTTATTGAACGCATTCGATTTCTGTTTCGCTCATAATAATACAATCTCAATAAAGCGAGTAATGAATTTAGCTACAAGTCGAAAGTACTAGTTGGGCCCACGATGTCTATGGGCCAACTATACCTGAAGTAATATAATTGATATACAGATATGTATACGTATATGTATATGGAAATGCATGTTTATCAAACCCTATACTAGTGATGGGTATATGTATTTGACGTACATACAGGTATATATGGGTTTCTTTTTATTTTATTTTTTTTAATTAACCCAAAACACTTGTGTTTACACGCGTTGAAAATATATTTATGTATATATGTATATCTATGTATATATTTATACACATGTGTGTGTATATATAGAGCTAAAGCCAGCCTCTATACGGAGCTCGGTCGGTGCGCTTGTGTATATCATATACGAAGAATGCTGCTGCAAAGAAAAATGAACTCAAACTCAAATCGAGACGACAACGACGACGACGACGACGTCGACAACGATCCATAAGGCCAGTTGCCCATAAGCCAAACGCGACTTCAGCATTGCACACGCGCATCATCTTCGATTCTCGCTGACAATAGAAGGAAATTAAGCCGCAGTCACCTTTGTTATTATCGGGGTTGCTGTTGTTGTTGTTGTTGTTGCTGCTGCTGCTGCAGCGACAGGTAAACAAAAGGAAAAGCCGAGACACGTAGCCGATCACGATCCTTGACTGTTGACACACGTACCAAAAGGCACTCCATCAACGGGCTGACGCCATGGACCGCAGCTCCACTGGCGAATGATGAATAGCTAGGAAAAACAGTTTTCATTGCATACACTTCTCTAGTGCAGCTCATGCATCGGCCAGAGAGAATTCTTAAGCGACAAAAACAAAATCGAAAGTGGGGATCATTGGCCAGCGACAGGTCGTCGTCAGCGGACGTCAATCGGCTTAAGCGATGAGCGATCAACTGTTGAGTGCTGCCACGGACGACGATCCACCGGCACTGATACCGACGCCGGTGTCATTGCCCAGCGCCTATGTGGACGCTGATGCGTCTGCCGAGCAGCCCGTGCTCTTGGAGCTGGGCGCCGCTCAGCCGCCGGCAGCGAATCTCAACTATTCGCTCTCGCCGGACGGCGCTGCGATGCTCACCTATACAGCGCCCACACACGCTCACATCAGCTATTCGCCCACATTGATGTCCAGCTACGAGAAGCAGCACAATCTCGGCCTGATCGGGCCGGCAATTGGTGGCAGCTCCGCCTACAGCATCAGCATACCACAGCCCGTGTCCATGTGGCATGATGGCTGTGCGCCGCCTGAGCCCAAGCGCAGCGAACTGGTTGCCGTGCCACCGCCCACATATATGACCTATAGCGGGGGCAGCAGCGGAAGCGGTGGCGTCGGTAGTGCCGTGGAGGTGGAGATTGCCAAGGAGCAGAATCCGGCATGGCGCGAAAAGGCGCTGCAAATGGAGAAAGACTACAGACGCACGGCCTGCGATCGAGAGCGCACGCGCATGCGCGACATGAACAAGGCCTTCGATCTGCTGCGCTCCAAGTTGCCGATCTCAAAGCCCAATGGCAAGAAGTACTCCAAAATCGAGAGCTTGCGGTGAGTGGATCATGTGTGTAACCCATCCATCATGCAGCTGATTAGCTAGCTTCCCTTTGCAGCATCGCCATCAACTACATCAACCATCTGCAGGCCATGCTGCGCGAGAATCACGTGCTGCCCGAAACAGAGCTGGTTTCGTTCAAGTGCAGCAATCGCTCCCTGAACTACGATGGCCAGGGCCAACATCTCAATCCCTCCGCTGGCTATGACTACGAGAACAGCGCCTCGGCGGCTGCCTCATCCCAGAATGGCTGCACCTGGAGCGGTGGCAGCAGCAGTTCCCCCAACTACGAGACCAACTCCAAGGATCATTGGAACACGTAGCCAAGGATTGGGCTAATCAGCACAATTACCGTGCCATTGCCAAAGAAAGTTGCGGAATATGGTCAATTTGCATCATACAGTGACTCCGTTTGATTTGTAGAAATCGAATAATACCAGTGAACCATGGCTAGACTTGACCTGTTGTTCAGTTTAAAAATATATACATATAATTAATACGAAAATAAAATGATTAATACGAAAATGAAACAGAAMCTAAATTTGCAATATTCTAGCTATATTATTAAA